AAGATGAAGGTGTATGTTTTCGTAGTTGTCGTCGTTTGTCTAAGAAATTCAGGGTGGTGGGAAGTAGTCTGGGCAACTCCATACAGTGAGCAAGGTTCAGGAAGACCTTTCGAGTGACAAGAAAAACATTTGACTTCATTTCACGGTGGTTGGTTGCTAGGGCTTTTCCCCCCGTACCTCTCAAAACTGAGAGTTTTAGCCATGTGACTGCTATTGTGACGTCATAAATGATGTCCAAATTTGGCATCAGAATAAAAATTCAGGAAAGAAATGGTAACTAATTTTATACTAGTTTTCTGTATAAAATTATATGATTTCTGGAGAAAACCCCATCTCAATCGGAGAGAAAGACGTAAAGTTACAGTTAATTAAAGAAATTCAAATTTCCCGCCAAATGACCTCATATGGTCAAAATTAGGGTATTTTAAACGCGAGGAAAATGAATGTATTGGCACAACTTCGTTCTCAGGGTTCTCTTCTAGGTTGATATTGGCACAGGAGCAAGGACAGCGTAGCATAAAATCAAAATTTTAGTTTTTTTAACTTTTGGATTACGCGTAGCGTAAGGAACAAGTTATTGTGGGCACTGCGATATGCAAATGTATCACTTGGGTGTAGACACTGTTTGTAATTAGTCGGCTTCGCACGAAAAGCGCCCGATACCAAATCGACAACTGTCGTAGATTGATCGTTCCTGTTCCGCAATCAAGAAGTGCTGAGTGTGCATTGTGCCCAGAGCTTTTGTACTTTTCACTGGACGATATGTTGTCTTCATGTGGGCTTTGAATGTTTCAAATTAGCACTATGGCCAACTTTGAGACAGTATGAACTTTTGAAGCTTTTTGACTCGTCCAGGCGATAAATATGACGAAAACATCAGCAATATTGCTCTTCGACTCCCAAGCTGGTCTAAGCGCTAGCTCACGATTCTGCCGTGAGTCTCACGATTTTTTAACTTTTCTCACCACACGACTCCCAATCTCATGGTTTTTAGTGAAATATCATTCTGAAATGAAATGCTTCTTTGTCCAGTAAAAACGGAAATGTTTACTGTTGCTGAACCGTAATTGACTGTTGTCATGTAAAAGCCGAGAATTGCAAACTGTACAACGTCGTCAGCAAGAGACCATGCGACGGTTTTGCGAGACATTTGTCGGCCATGTGTTTGAAATGCGAGTAATGAGTTAAGTGCGGCTTTTATCGCCAAAACCTTGCAAATTTTCCTTGAATATATCTTTCAATTCTTCATAAATAAAGCTCTACCAGCTTCAAACAGCGTCATCTGGCAGTACTCCATGGCATAAAATGTTAAATATAATTAATTTAATCAGATTGTTTAACATTAGTTATCGTGGCGCAATATTGACAACGCGTTGACCTCCCTCGTCATAGGTCCGGGGTTGGACTCCCGCCGGAGAAGGCCTTTTTTCCCTTTTTTTCAGTCGTTTTGTTTTTTGTTTTTTTTTAAAACATTATTTCATTTTTTGACAGACTTAAAATATACCGGTAGACTAATTGAAAGTTCATTATCAGGTTTTCATTTCTAAAATAATTAATCCACAAGTTAGCCATAGGAACCCTTTGATTTACTTAGGGTATGTCATGCTATGGCGTGTTTTTCGTCAAGAAATACGTCATTATGACGTCGCAATGACGTATTTCGTGACGAAAAACGGGTCATAGTACCACATACACTAAGTGAAAAAACTACAATTTTGATTTTATGTAACTTAGACGTTGCTCCTGTGCCAATACATTCATTTTTCTCGCGTTTAAAATGCCCCTAATTTTAACCATACATGGTCATTTGGCGGTAAATTTGATTTTCTTTAATTAGCTGTAACTTCAGGCCATTTTATCCGATTTTGATGGAGTTTTCACGATAAATATTTTTTTGCGTAGGAAAAATGTCTGTAACGTTTCTAACACTGCTTTTCAAAATTTTAATGTTGTTACTAAAAATAGGTGTCATTTCTGACGTCCTACTTTCAAGGAACGTCAAAAATACCCTTACAATGGCAAGAATTTAAAGAAAATTTTTCTCTAATTAAGATGTTCTTATGTATTGCTTCATTTGGAATATAGACTACCCCACTGTGAGCCAAAAATTGAATTTAAGAAGTTGTGGGAGGAAAAGCCGTAGCAACTGACCATCGTGTTGAGGCGGATTCGAGCTGACATCGACAAAAACACAGTCACAGCTCACAGCTAGTCACAATAGCCTACGTTTTTGTTTTCCTCCCATCCAATCGTATCTTCGTTACTTTCAGCAACCGAGCACTCGAAGACACATCCACTCTTTCCACAGCTTTTCACACATGTTTATTTTGTCTTTAAAACATTGTACAGCTGGAAGGCAAAGTTTTTCTCCAAAAAACCAATTTATTCGACAAAAAAAACGCGCGAATCGCCGCCTGGTTAGCTCAGTTGGGAGGGCGCCGGTCTGCTGGTTCTCCACGGGTTCGAACCCGGCCAGACCAACACTCAGCAAACGGTTAGACTCTCTAGTCTTCTCGGATAAGGACGAAAAACCGTAGGTCTCGTCTCACAGCACTTATACTTATCTGGTTCTTGTAGGACGTAAAAGAACCCACACCACTGTTCGAAAAGAGTAGGGGACGTAGACCCCGGTGTTGTGGTCAACCTTCACTCATCACATCATTCACATCATGGGTTGGGTGGGTTCAATAAGCTCACAAATGGACTGAGAGCGGCTGCCAGTGGTGCCCTTGCATGCTGACGTCCGAGCTTACTGTTCACATGTTAAAATGTATTGTAAGAGGGCACGTCTGTTGTCCTCTCATCCACGACTCTTCATTCACTCATTTATCCGTCTTGGCAAGACCGATAAAACGTCTTGGACGAATTCAATTCATTTTATACGTCGCAGAATCGTCGACTTTTATTGCATTGGAGGCTTTGAATTGAATTCGTCTGAATTAAATTCTACGATTGCGCGACTTATAAACAGGGCCTTAAACCAGTCTTTCCTATACTGTTTAAGTTCAGAAATCGTCCTTCTAATTTGCAAACCGAATTCTAGCTTTGAGCGCCATGGCCAGACTAGTTCCACCGCTTGTGGCCGCCTTCTTGTTTTTGGTAGATTAATCCGTGAAAAATTTAATATGCAGGATTTTTCAAGCGTTGCGCTTCGGCTCGCACACGCCTAGTTCATCAGATTTACCTTTTAAATTCAACTTCTTCCGAAAGTAGACAGCATCAGACAATAAACGCTTGCTTTCAAATTCAGAAGTCTTTGAGGTGCTTGGAACACTGGTTAGCTTAAAGCTACGTACGTGCAAACAGACGCATTGATCCCGATATTGTTGGCAGTCAAACGCTTGACCGATTTGAAACTTTGCGCAATAACTCCCAACAACACGTATCGACATGCAACAATATGTGCAAACGAACGCAACATGTAACATCCACTAATTTTGGGAGTTGTTGGTCAACAATGTTGCGTCCGTTTGCAAGGGGCTTAAATAGTCAAGTTTATCGTCGCGGTAATATTCTAAAAACTTCCATCTCTAAAGGTTGGAAGGGACGTTCCCCGATTGAAAGCGAAACTATATTCATAACTGAAGCTCGCGGTTGTCTCTAAGACTGGAACGTTTACCAATTGACTACATTTCTTTTTCGATAACTATTTAAGTTTATTGTTAAAATTCTCGTTTTTGACAAGTCATACTTGGGGAGTAAATAAGCAAAAGTCATCAAACACTTTATTTCCGCTTAAAAAGACTTAATTGGTAAAGTGAGGGTGGCATTTAAACCATTTAATTTCCCAAAGTAGAAAAGTGCATTATAGATTCATTGACAAAGTAAAAGTAAATAACCAATTTAAATAATCACGATAAAGAAATATAAGTAATACTATACTAAGAACAGGGGCTCGCTCAAAAATTTAAAATAAGACAAGTGCCTATATACATAGTTGCTTACTCTCGATTATTGAAGGGTTGCATTATCAGAAATCAAGACTTAATACTTCCATAGAAAACGTCAGATTTCGACCAAACTTACCCAAGTAAAACAGAAGTGGAAAAATGACTTCTAAAGCATGAATAACTTAGCGTTTTTTGAGCTGTACTTACCAAAGGTTTTCAAGTATGTAGTTAATATCCTTAAAAATGCTTCTCAGTCTGTTGCCCGTCGTGCGCGACGAAGGATCACAGAGAATCCTTTGACTTTGGAAGGAATGAAACTTTTTCTAAATTAGGCAAGGCAAAGTGGAAAAGGGACTGGGTATTAGTTCTCGCCTCTACCAAGATACCAAACGCCCTTACACAAAAACTTCTACACCCATTTGAGCTTTAGTCAGCAGTATCGTAGCATGGCTGTCTGCATTAAATGATATATTTTTTTCTTTCTTTTTTTTTTTTTTAATAATAAACTGCAACATGTACAGACTAACAACAACAGGAAGTAAAAGTGAGCACAGTTTAACTACCTAAGTACGACTGGAGCAATGAACTTTTAACAACAGTTATATCTAGTTATAAACAAATATACAATTTTTCTACATATTTTTTAGTAATTGTTCGTCAGTGGAAAGGAAAGCAATCCATATCCAGAGCTATATTAAGAGCTATCTGTGAGAAAATTCCATTTTTTAGTGTCCCCTGTTTTTTTTCTCTATAATCAATCTTGAATTAAATAGGCGTAGAAAATGTGCAAAATTAGGCGACATTTCATCCATTCTCAATTAAATGATTCTTCTTCTTCTGAGTAGTTACATTCTTGAAGCCATTTTTGTTGGGTTTTACGTGGGGCTAAACTTTTGGCTCTGATTTAGCAACAGAACGGGAGCGTCAAAGCGCGCAGAAAGGACTAAACGCGACTTACGGTGCCAAATTTGCCGCTCTGCCATTGGTCGAGCCAGTTGTTTGATTTACGCAAGCGCATGCTAAGGCGCAAACATGAAATGAAATGTCTTAGCCTAAGCCCGTCTTAGAGTATTCAAAGAAATACGGTTTATGCTTAAAGTTAATGCATCATTACCCTTTTTTACAAATCGTCTTAACACTACAAGCTACGCAGGATGGCTTTAACATTCTGCGCACTCTGTCTTTCAAAGTAGAAACTGTAACTGAATTCATGCTTGAAAACAAATTAGCTTGTGGAAGAAAATAATGAGGACAATTTTTGTTTTCTAAGAACTTTTCCAATAAGCCCAGCACGTCCAGGAAGCGGTCTCCTATTTTGTCGGTGCACCATTTCAAAGGATCAGTGATTTTGTCTCCAGTGTGAAATAAAATTGTTTGTAAATGATACAACGACAACTCCCTCAGTGTTTTGTCTCGCTCCCGCATTTCTACCAAAGATAGCAGCACACGGAATTTAGTGGTGCCGAGAGAAATGAACTTTTTCTTCTCCTCGGATTTAAAGGACAGTTTCCAGAGGGTTTCGGGATCGCTCATGGGAAGCGGACAGGATTTTCCGACGACATCAGAAGGAGGCCCGGATTTGGCGGAAAATCGACGACACCACTCTAAACTTGTCTTCGGAATTGGAATCGTCGGAATCAACTCCACGACCAAGAAACCATCGTTGATGTGCAGAACAATGGTCGAACCCTCACAGAGGACTTCCAGACTCTCAATTCCTCTCGGAAACTCGTCAGCTCCCTGTTCTACGTCATGATTTAGATTTTTAATAGCATTTTTCATGGTTAGTTGAAGCTTTGAGCGAACAAGATTTGCTGAAAGAAATCCTTCGGAGTCGATGCAATCGTTCCAAGTCTCACAGTGTTCGAGTTGCAGTCTTATGAAGCCATCCTCCTCGGCTCGGTGAATAAAAATTTTTTCGTTGCCATCTAGGTACACAGGCACTTCAAACTCGAATCGGTCGTTTTCTTTTTCCACCATGTCACCTTGCCTTGACCCACTGCGCAAACTATCCCCTAGAGTGAAACGGTCGCTCACAACTTGTGCATGAATTAAGGCCTTAAAAACGACAGAAAAAGCCAGACTTTTGTTCCGCCGAACTCTAACTCTATTCTCTTTAACCTGTTGAAAATAAAATTTGTTTAGTTCGATGGTCAACTTTTCTGCGTACTTGAAAATTTTGCAGTTTTGATGTTGTGAAGTTTGCGCCGGTTTGTTTAACTGCGTACAGGATGCGAACTTTTTATGCAAATTTGTGTGTGACATGGCTTTTTTGTGCAGAACTTTTCTGTAGAGATCTGAATCCGAGGGAAACCTCTGCAGATGGCGCCTGGGATCACCGTTTCCCACATCCAAACTTCGTTTTCTCATTGCCAAAACAGTCTTTTGTCTCCTGATGTCTTGGAAAGACATTTTAAACTGAAAAAGACAGAACAGTTTCGAACGGCAGTTTTCATCTAAAAAATACTATAAACAACAACTGCGCAAACATAACCATCCGGCACCTGCTGTAATCAACCAGCCAGTCACGTGGACACCAATGACGTTGATTTTTTTAGTTTCTTTGGTTTCTAATATTAAACAAACTATTACATTTACATGTATTTGGCCGATGATATGCTCGGTTCTGGAAATAACTGAGTCAAATAAACGTACAAATAAAAGCCACCATTATAAAGTTTGTTGAAGCTCCGAAAACAAAGTCGATTTTGCTCGTGATGGGAGCTCAAACACATCCGTCACTGTTTATGTTTTAAAACCTACCAGCTGATATTTTTACCAAGCTTCTATTTTTAATAGCAATCCTACGTAAACTGTTGTTTCCTGTTAGTGTTTCCACTGGAAAAAATAATAAGATAATAACGTGAAAAAATACCGCTAAACATTCACTATTTTGAGTACTTAAAGTTCTTCCTCCTTCATGCAGCTATGTGAAAAATGTCCCCAGAGTGCAGTTTAACTGTGTATAAATCTCGTTTTAGATAGCTTTCGAATATACCTTGTCTTTATTTTACTTAGGGACCGGTCATTATTTATGTAGGGGGGGAAGGAAAAAAAGAAGGGGAGGCTAAGCTTTCTTATAAAGAAGTTTGGGGGGGTCAGCAGTTTGATCGTGAGGTATATTTTAAGACGGGTCCATTGGCCAAGATAGGTAGTGCTAAATTGTACAATTTTAAGCTATTTTATGCTAATCCTATTGCTTTTTGTATATTCAAAGCACCACTATTTTGTACAACTTAGTCATTTGTATGTGACAGAAATTCTGTTTGAGCTCTAAACTTCATTGTAATTTCAAATTTTAGCTAATAAAGAATCCAGACCTATCTGCTCTAATATTTGGTTTAACTGAATTTTCTTTTAACAAAATGCTTGTCACTTCAATAGCCCAAGAAAAACATGATAAAACAACAATGATATGATAAACGTGATAAAACAACAAGAAAGTAGTCCGTCAAGTTACAACTGTGGGAAAATCATTTAAAAAGAATTATATTTTGCCCGGTTATTACATTTGCATTCACCATGAAGGCACGATTTGTAAAAATCTATCACGTTTCCAATATTTAAAAAAAATGAAACTTTTATGAGTTAATAATACTGGCATGCACACTATACACATAACTTGTCCAGAAGAAGTGGACGAAAAGCTGGACACTGGTCTACGCGATACCGTTATTTTGTAATAGAGTAGGTTAGTTCCATTGTTATACGAAGTAACTAATCATCTTATAATTAGTATGTTACATGCATTTTAGTAATTACATTGAAGAGCTTATAAGAAGAGATGTGAGGTGGTGGTGTGTATGTGTGTGTGTGGGTGGGTCATCACGTAAATATTGAATAAAGTAGGGGGGCCACTTGCTATTTAAATGGTCTGCAGGGGGGGCCTTACAGAAATTTTGATCTTCCCAACATGTATTTCTCTCACCCCCCCCCCCCCCCCCCCCCCC